TTCAGCGCATGTAACGTAGCTTCTCGTAGGTGAATTATTTTTTAAAATAGGTCCAGTACTTTATAGAGCCTATTTAATGCAAACAATAAAAAGATAGAACTTTGTTAAAACTAGAATTAAGGAATGCTCAAAAATGTATATCAGGTTAAAACTAGATCTTATAGCGGGTAGCAATACTGCAAAAAACTATCATTTTAATTTAAATGACCATGAAAGCTTAAAACAATATATAGATCTTACTAGGCAAGACGCAGTTTTCCGAAGCGATGACAAATAACTTTGTTCATTCTATAATTTTTTTGTTAATTGTTTATTGATATACTATTTTTAGCATTCGTTAATCAAAGTTTTAATAAAGGCATTTAGTTCTAACTAGAGAAAACGCATTCTATCTAAAAACTGGAACGTTTAGATATTTTTGAAGATTGCCACAAAAGTGGCACCGGTCCCATTCGAACATTTAACTATTTTGGCAATTATTAAATATTCTTTATCGATAAGGCACCATACTTTTTATCAAATCAAATCAAATAATTTATTGGCCATATAACTCAGAAAGTTACACTCGGTAAGTCTTTAACAATAAGCATATTAAATTAAAAATAAAGGTTTAAATCATGCAGGTCAAATCATTGTAAGTAGGAATGTCAAATAATTTTAAGATTGTACGAAACGCATGGCAGTGTCTATATTGTTTTATAAAATAATTTAATGTTATTTTAAGTATTATCTATTAACTAGCTTTTGCCCGAGATTTCGTCCGCGTGGTAAAGTTACTTTGAGCAGCATTTCTAACGAATATTTATTTAATCGTTCCATTAGGTACTGATAGGTTCAAACTAATACATTTATATCCTCTATCATCCCTTATTGTATCCCCATGGGGGCTGAATTTATCAAAATCCTATTTAAAGGGACGTCTTCATCATAGTAGCTCCAATCTTTGATTTCAGTTCAATCAGTCGAAAATCTAAGAAGATTTATACAAACTTTCATCCCCTATTTGGGGGTAGAGTTGATCAAAGTCTTTTCTTAGGAGATGCCTATGTTATAGTAGCTTTATGCATGCAAAGTCTTAGCCCAATCGGTTTAAAATGGACAAAGTTTTATACAAACTTTCAACCCCTATTTTATCCCCCTAGGGGTGGAATTTATCAAAATCCTTTCTTAGGAGATGCCTATGTCATAGTAGCTTTATGCATGCAAAGTCTCAGCCCGATCGGTTTAAAATTGTCAAAGTTTCATACAAACTTTCGTCCTCTATTTTATCCCCTTGGGGGTAGAATTGATCAAAATCCTTTCTTAGCGGATGCCTATGTTATAACATCTATCTGGATGCCAAATTTCAGCCCGATCCGTCCAGTGCGTTGATATATATGTTACGCTCAAAGATCGAAAACGCTCAGTGAGCGGAAAAATAGCTCACAACGCGTTGTGGTCACAGTAAAACATCCACATGGCGAAATTCGTGTTATGGCTCTAATGAAAACGCGCACGACGCGTTGTGGCAATCACAGAAAGACCAAATAGCGAAATTCGTGTCGTGACTGACATGCTATTCGATCTCAACGCGTTGTGGCAATGAAGAAAAGCCATCACGCGTATGGAATATTATTTGATTACGACGCACACTACTTTCCGATATGGATCCTACTAGGCATAGGCTGGAAACGTTTTGGTAGATGTCCTTAGGAAATATTTTTTATTTTATAAAATCACTGCATAACGTGTTTGTTATTATGAAATATATTATATAAATTAAAAAAAAAAACGATATTTGTTGTTTATTGAGATTACTTTATATTTTAAAAAAAATCAACGTATTAATATTTAGTAATAAATTACTGAACACAAAATGTTAATCATTTGTAAATTTCTTACAATTCACTTAAAATAATAAGGGATTTTAATTTTTTATGACAATTAAAATTTTTTCAAGTAATAAAAACATTTAACACAAACATAAATGTTTATTGTCCACCAATAAACAACAATAATGTACTTAAAATAAGTATTTGATTCATCTGTTTTGCAGAAATATCGAATTTTTGAACTTGAGCTTTCTATTCCAGCTTCAACCAACTTTTCAGTATCACCAATCTTTAAGACATCATATCGTTTAAGACGTCGATACTGCTTCGAAGATAGAGACTCGTTGTTCTTTTTAAGAAGCGGAGACTGTTTTGTTTCATTAAGTAACATTTCATATTTTTCTGTAGTCATGATAAAACTGCGATCAGTGCTTGTTTCCACAAACTCACGTAAATTATCGTAAAACACTTCTTTTTTATTCGTCATAATTAGCGCTGACATTAAAATTCACTCTGAGAAACAGAAAAGAAATGAATAAAACTGATGTTATAATGCGTCTTTACACCCACGCCGACATCGACAAGTTACAACCTGTCCGTCGTGATATGGTTAAAACAATGAATGCTCAGAACGCATCATGGCTTTTCTTCATTACCACAACGCGTTGAGATCGAATAGCATGTCCGCCACGACACGAATTTCGCTATTTGGTCTTTTTATGATTGCCACAACGCGTCGTGCGCGTTTTCATTAGAGCCATAACACGAATTTCGCCATGTGGATGTTTTACTGTGACCACAACGCGTTGTGAGCTATTTTTCCGCTCACTGAGCGTTTTCGATCTTTGAGCGTAACATATACACATGTAAAAATTACAAAGAAGATTAATAAACTCGAAAGATAGAAGAAACTCCTCGTATTTTTATATTTCTTGTGGATTTAAATGACCGTGGTCGAGTGGCTCGAGTGCTGAATTCAAGTCGCCGCCATCTCTAAGGTCCGGGTTCGATTTCCGGCCAGGTCAATATAGTCTTCATTGTTTTGGATTTCCATAATTTCATCACCAATTTATTAATGTGCCCACTGCTGGGGATCAGGATAGTATTGAACAGAATAGGGAGTAATTAGTCTGGCATGACCCACCACGTAGACCCGATGTGGATTGGTGTCTGTTAAAGACTGCAGATGTAGCCGGGACCAAAGGAAAAGGAAGCACAGAGGAGCCAAAATTAATAAATTTTTGATCACCCATCCTATGACCGACCATTGCAAAAGTTGCTTAACAACCGTATCGTAATACAAAGACCTAAAAGGTCAGATCCCAAATCTTTTAATTTGGGATCTGAGCAATCCATGTGATGTTGCTTAATATTTATTTATTTATGTTTGCCACTATCGAGTTAAGAGCTGGTAAGTTTCTTGTGTCCTCTCTTTATAATGACCAAAAAACCCCCCGAAGTAAAAAAATGGTTAAATAGGTACTACCAAAGATGTCACTTGAATATGAAAATCCTTTACCATTTTCTTATAATATTAAACATAATGTTTCCCACATTCCAATTTCTACATAGAAACAGCTCAAATTTCTACAGAACGTTTGTTTTACGTTGAGTGTCCGGCGCGAGTGTTATTGTATGGATGTTTGTATTTTTTTCCTTTGCGTCGTTTCTTTTTTTTTATCGTTATTATGACTGTTCTTCCACCGTTCGAATATCGAATGTAAATAGGTGTCTGATTATTGCGTTCTTTTTATATGCATTCTATTTGGTCAGCACTTTAAATAAATAAAAAAATGTAATCAATTATCTTATCACATCAGCTTTGAAGACAAGGTTTTCACAAAAATTAGCATTTTGTTATTCTTAAAGCATAATATCACTAATGGATTACGAACAACTTCAAACCATTTTCATTTTCAAGCTCACCAAAATTTTACACATACATGATAATACAGAGAATTACTATATGTTGTTTCATAAAATATGCGATCTCTTCTTTACACTAAGGTAGAGTATGCTAAATTTATAGGTATAATACGTATTTCATTAATTTATTTTCTATCAGTTAGTTATATTGTACTTAATCCTTCTGCATAGTAATAGTTTTGACTACAATTTATTTTATGATTCGTTGTTTTGTCATGTGATGTTATTATACGCTATATTATGTATACAGGCTAAGAAGAATATAATAAATTTTGCGGTAAATGATAAAGAAAGCTCTTTTAATTTAGCTTATCAGCGCGGAATGCTTTGATTTAAATTTACTTCAATATTTTGATTGACCTTAAGTACACACGCGTCTATTCTTAAAAGCTTAGAGGAACCATTACCATTCTTATGGTTTAGAGTTCGTTTACCGGTTGAACAGATCAAAATAAACATTTTCTACGTTATCTCTGGTAGACGCTTTGTTGTTTTTTTATGTTATAACTAGTGGACGCCCGCGACTTCGTCCGCGTGGAAGTCGGTATCCCGTGGGAGTGAGAAGTTTTCCCAGTAAAAAGTACCCTATGTGTTATTCTGATGTATAACCTATATTGCTGTAAAGTTTTATCCAAATCCGTCCAGTAGTTTTTTCGTGAAAGAGTAACAAACATCCATACATCCATACTTACAAACTTTCGCCTTTATAATATTAATAGGATAGGATATACTTACCTATTCTTCAAATCGCATCTATTTACCATAGAACAATGCATTCAATATTGTCTATTGTTTACGTAAGGCGTTTAAATTTTAACCTACTGTATTTTATAGTGGAATGAGATCGCTTCGTTGCATTTCCTTCTGCACACTTCCCCAAGTTCACATTGTTCAGCTATTATTAATACAATTCTGTTGACATAAGCAAAATTCTAATTGTTATGAATGCTTATTATACTTTTTAAAAGACATGGTGTATGTATTAAACGGTATGATCAATGAACTGCAATAGTAAATATAACATCAGTAAATTCGAGTAGTACCTACTATAATGGTAAATTTGCAAAGATCAGCTGTTTTTGCGATATAAATAGTTATTGAGTTGTTGATTGTTATAACGCGCATAATTATGTAATGAGAGTTCATAACATTTAATTAGAACGCGTTTAATTTATATTTTGGCTGAATGACTTTGTTTTCTTTGCAGTTCTCGAAATTTGGCGCGAAGAGAATCGACATTTGTGTGTAATGAAATCGACAAACATGGAGCCTTGTTCAGACCGGCTAAGCCCGTCGAGCGACTCTACCAGTGAATCAGAAACATCCTTCCCATATGACAATTTTTACCCACAACATGACATAAATGATAAACTGTATTTTCCATGCAAACAAAAGTCGCCTAAAAACGATGAAAAAATCAAAGAGAATTATTTACAAGAGAGCAACAAGTTTGAAAACTACCAATCGCCACAGAGAAATAAAAAATATTTAAATTTCGAACTGAAGCTACCGCAAAATGATAACTTTTTCAGTCAAATAGAAACAGACGATCGTTCTATGCGTTCTGTTTACTTTAACGAAGTTCCAAATTTAAAGAGCTGTCAGAATGAAAATAATCCTAACTTGCCAGATGCGAAAATTAGCAATCAACAGATAGCTTTCGATGGTGCAAATAATATGAATGTTAATAATAACAGAGACAAGCAGTCGTTTTTTTATGAGAATGAAAGCGGGAACGTAAGGAGGTGTTTGAATTTCAATTCGGAACAGGTGCAATGTGTTTGCGAGGCGTTGCAACAAAAGGGAGACATAGAAAAATTAGCTGCGTTTCTTTGGAGCTTACCACCCAGTGAACTCCTCAGAGGGAATGAGACAGTTTTGAGGTAAGCTTCTTTGTAATAGCATCATCATCACCAGCTATTAACAAATATTATTAATTGCTCCACTATTGGAGCCAAGATGTGGGCCCAGTTCGGATTTGAGGATGTTATTGCTTTCTGAAGAGATGATGAATGTTTGGTCACCTATCATTGGCTGGCCATTGTGAAAATTGCTTAACTTATATATATTTGTCAATATGTATAAAGCAGTTTTGACAATGTAAAGATAAGGTTTTTTAGAAATGTAATTTAAATATCTGTCTTCATTGCTTTATTATTAATTGCATAAAATGTACTAAAAAATCAACCCGAAGAAATCATTAAATTGTGTAATATAAAACTCTGAAATTATAGATAATTATCCGAATTACTATCAAGTATTTTGCACTTATGTTGCTACTGCTTCAGTTTGACAGCGAAATCTTTGTATTGATGAGACATCAAGTCTTTCCGTAACACTCGATAAAAGCGGACCATGTTCGAATATTTTATATTATAAAACAACTTTTTCACGAATGAGAGTGGTTAATTTAGAGATGTTAGCATATTCCTAAACGTTTTGATTTTTTCTTTTTCAGGCTGTATAAGGCACTAGACGCGATTTATTAAATTCTAGTAAATTTCTTATAATTTTTACAATAGGGCCGATGACATTTTCTTTCTTGTCTGACCGACATAATGTTTTTTTATGCAGGCATCAACACTATTTACAAATTAAATATCTAAATAAGGTAAAAAAAACGAAATAGGAGATCCGAGATCCATCTTAGTTTTTGAGTTTTCATAGTAGGTATGACGTCACCTGTCAGTGATATTTTTAGAGGATACATAAATAAAATATTAAAAACAAAAACACAAAAATCGGGAATCTAGTTGCATGAACGTTATTAGGGTGTACAAATAATGTTAGCTCTAATAAATGTTGTAAATTTGAAAATATCACTTCAAACTATGATAATTTTGATGGACGTGTGTGCAACTGGGTGGGCGTCTCCTAAAAAAGGCATAACTTAAATGTAAAAACATATAAATTTGTCAGGGCTAGAGCTGTGGTGGCGTATCACAGGGGAGTTTTCCAAGAGTTGTACTCAATATTGGAAACGCACACGTTCCCACCACGACATCATACTGCACTACAGAATCTATGGTTCAAGGCGCACTATGATGAGGCGGAGAAGGTCAGAGGCAGGCCTCTGGGTGAGTAGATTTAACTTCCTTTCGTTTATTTTCTGCAAATGTTATCGTAAAGATAGTCAACACTTTAAATACAAAGCTTTAGGACAAAATTCTTGTTACTAGATCACAAAATAAAAAAAAAATCTGTCAGCATTTATTTGTGAGGAAGATATTGAGCTCATAATATTGAATTTTAGGTAGGTACAATAGTAAATTGCAACAATTTACATAAAAAATGAATTGAATTGAAGCCCAGGCATTATCCACCGCGAGGACTCATGGTCGAAAGTTAAATAAGAAAGGTTGGAAAATCTAGATGTGTTTGCTGCAATTTTTTATTATTATTTTTATTGTTGCAGGAGCTGTAGATAAATATAGGTTAAGGAAGAAATATCCGTTGCCCAAGACTATTTGGGACGGTGAAGAAACTGTTTACTGTTTTAAAGAGAAGAGCAGAAACGCACTAAAAGACTGCTATTTTAGAAATAGGTAAGTTAGTGACCTTTTAGAATTACCTTGATACAGTATGCAGACCAAGAAAAAATCAAGAGATAAAATCTTATAACTGTAAAACTTTTTTAATAGCTATTGGCTAGGAATATGTGTGTTAGATTATTTCAAATGCGTTACAAACTGATACGCTGTTACAGGTATCCTACTCCTGACGAGAAGCGAGCGTTGGCCAAGAAGACCGGTCTGACCCTCACGCAGGTGTCAAATTGGTTCAAGAACAGGAGACAGAGGGATCGCACTCCACAGCAGCCTAACAGACCGTAAGTTATCTATACCATCGTCATCAGCCTTTTTGCCTCCCCACTGCAGGGCTCAGGCCTTACTTATAAATGGTTAAGGAAGACGGGCCATGATCCTCCACGCTCACACAATGCGGATGAGAGGGCCGAGATAATAACAATAACAATAATTTTTGGTCACCCATCCCATGACCAACCCATGCGAAAGTTGCTTAACAACAACGATCGCGGGCCGCGGTGGTTATCCACTACAACACCGTGCTACTCTAACAGTGTTATAAATAAATAAGGTTTAGCATCGGAGTAAATTTACGCTGAGACTGGCACTTGGTATTAGTCAAAATTGATATTATTAAACAGAGACATAGCAAAGGTTCTACGGGAGTAATATTTACTTCTAGAAGGTAGTAAGTGTGCTTATCATCTGTATAATACTAAAATTTTAACTTTAGCGTAAATTTACTCTGACGCTAAACCATGTTTTTTGATAGCACTGTGTAAGAATATTACTTAAACTAGTACTGAATTGATTTTTTCTATATTGTCTCGTGTTTGGATATTGTAGTCGGTACCTACGTTGCCTGAGATACTCCATAATTGATTGCCCCCTTAAATATTTATTTTATTAGTTTTTAGTAGTTGTTTTAGTGTAGTTTTTAGTAGTTCTTTTAGTATTTGTCGTTGAAGCGGCAACAGAAATACATCATCTGTGAAAATTTTAACTGTCTAACTTTCACGATTCATGAGATATAGCTTGGTGACAGACAGACAACGAAGTTTAGTAACAGGTCTCCCGTTTTACCCTTTTGGTACGGAACCTTAATAAAATTTTAATAACACAGACGCTATTTAAGCGAATTACAACCACATGGACAGTAACTGGCTGTAAGCAATTATGTGACGTTGACCATTTTTATATTAAAAAAAAACTTTCTTTGGTGTTCTGACCGTACCATCAGTTTGTCACATGCCACTGTGTCGATAAGCAAAAAGTAATTTATGGCGGCCTTGAGACGAAAAACACATAACTTTTGAAACAAAGAGCCCTCCCAGACGTAACAGTAAGCACGTCGCTGTTTGGATCGTGAGAGTAAACTAGCACAGCTCATATTACATGCCTTCGTAAAGGTGGAACGTCGCGTTATTTTTTAATATGAATAGATGGCATTGATCTTATTTTTTTTTCATGAATGTAAACTCCATTTTTTTTTATAGCGATACTGGTAAAACTATAAAAATACATTTTGTCTAATATATAAAATTATCGTGTCACAGTTTAAGTTACCATAGATCTCCAAAACTGAATTTTTTATGTATATTAGGTCTGAGAATAGGTTAAATTACCTATTTTTATATCTCCAAGATCTTCTCAACTCAATTTATCTCAAAATTATCGTGTTGTCTATTATATTATCGTTGTAAGATCATATTTTTTTATTATGTTAATATTGTAGTGCAAAGTGACATATATTTACAATATTGTAGTTTTTGTGAATGTCGTAACTTCCATTAGAGCTGGTGAGTTTCTTGCTCTCTTCTTATCAGCCAAAAACTTTTAGCTAGTAGGTGAAAAGTTTCTAACATAGAGTTGAGAGCTATTAACTGCGGCTTTTTTTAGCGGCCTAGTCCTTGGGAATTAGAGTTATTTATTCGGCTATAAAAAGTGCCTAGCCTATGTAACTGCTTAGTCTCTCAAATCAATAGTAATAATAACAAAATAAAACATTAAAATACATATATATTTAAATCAGGTAAATGAATATCAGAACCTGTTCAATTCAAACAAATGAACGAATCTTTCCTCTTTTCGCAAAGTTCTAAACGAATTGAACATTTTCTGTTAGTATCGTAGAAATCTTAGTGACAAAGAGTAAAGATTTTAGAATGCGTTAACCACTTCAAGTCCCTCGCATATCTTTTAATGGAATGAGGAAGTATTTAAAAAATAAAAATTATTTCTAGAAATCATACTAGATGTCACTCGTGATGTTTGGATTTTGTTTATGATATTCATTCAAATTTTATTTCTGACGTAATAAAAGTAAATTGAATATCGAAAATTAATAAATATGACATCGTTTTGTGTTTCTTGTGATATCTAACTTTCAAACTAATTTTATTATTTAATTATGAGTTTAGGATCTTATAACTGATCATAGTTTTTTAAAGTTTTAATTTCGAAAGCACTAGTTATTTGCACGTAACACTTTGCACAAACGTCATTTTAGTTAGAAGTCATGTTATTTTGTACGAATTCAAATAGTATATTTGATACATATCGGGTGTTTATAGATAATAAACGGATTTTTTATTAAAATTATCGTTTTTATGACTTTTGTTGACGATTAATAAACCTTATTCATCCATTCACCATACATAATATAAAAATATTATTGAGACTTGATATAGTTTTGTTTCTGTAAGTTCAAAAAACAACTAATAGCAATAAAACTAACTTACCTAGTTGTTATTGTTTTCAGAACTTATGTTAAATATTATAATTAAAAATTCCTAGTACTAAAAAAATCCTACTATGGCATAAATAAATGGTATAGTATTTTATTTATAAAAACTATTTGTAATATTATTGTATACCGTAGCTAAATGCCACTTGTAATTATATCACAGCGTTAATTCAATTGATTTCCATAAATTAAAAAAAACCTCTGTGCTCACTTGCATTATGTTAGTTTCCATTTTCCTCTATACAAATAAAAAAGAAATTTATTCAAAGATTACTTTATATTAATCGAGTTGCGTTTACATAACTTAAACTTATTAAATTTCAACTCGATATTGACGATTGACGAACAACACTGACGATTCTATTCTCTTTGGTTTAACGTCATGAATTGACGTTTAGATCCAACAATTTGTGCTGCCATCTAGTGACATTAATTTTTGTAGTTTCTTTATTTTTTTTAAATACTTCCTCATTGAAAACACTTTTTGTCTATGATCAACTTCATGAAAACCTTCCTTTTGAATCACCATATCTATGAAAAAAAACCGCATCAAAATCCATTACGTAGTTTTAAAGATTTAAACATACATAGGTATATAGGGACAGAGAATGCGATTTTGTTTTGTACTACGTAGTGATGACATTCAACCTTGCATGTTGATACTGAAATTGTTTTAAAACTTTTTTTAGCACTTTTAGCCAGTTGCACAAACGCCCATTAAGGTTTAATGACACCTTTAGGCTCTAATGAATGTCAAATTTGTATGGGTAATGTCGCTTTAAACTAACGAAAGTTTTAATGGACGTTTGTGCAACTGGCTGTTTGTCTCTTTAGTTTTACTTCCGTTGGAGCTTTCGAAGCATGGTCCGTCTTATTTGCGACGACTGACCCTTAAATCAAATTGTTTTATAGTTTTTGTAATGTTTCATACTGCTCTTATCTATCGTTTCTAATGGTCGAAACAGTATGTGTTTTCTATGAGACAAAGCGACATCATTATGGAGTCATTAATCAAAGAGACAAAGGCACCGAACATGAGACACGTGTGTAACATCAGTGGACAATGGCCATAATAGCTCCAAATTTCTTAAAAAAAATCTACCATCTGTTCCTTAACTTTTAAATGGCAACTTTTATTTACAGTCAAATTAGCTTTATACCTGGGTACAGCAAAGAAAAATAAATTAAATATTTCATTAAATTAAATTCATAAATTTCTTGGTTGCACATGGGTATGAGAGATAATGAACAAATAAAGTAGATTCAGATGGTTATTTTGAAAGCCTCACAAAATCCTTTGACTGCTTTGTAAACATAAAAGTGTAAAAGTGTATAAAATAAATAAATTTTCATTTTCATTTTTCATTTTTTACATAAGTTATATAAAAAAAACACGCTATGAAATAACTGTCACCTATAAAAACTATAACCACATATGATATTATAAGTAACTCTTTTTTTTTATTATTTTTATTTGCTCTTGTCACTTATTACAATCCACGCCAATTGCCATTGCATTTGACCGCCATTTTGATGACGTAATTACGTTAAAAAATCAGAACCATTAACAAATAAACATTGGTTGACGAGTACACTTATTGAGTTGGGTTGTGTTGAAATCACAGATCATTTTTGTTACTTATGTTTTTATTGGTTTCGATTGTTATTATTTAGTTTTCTTGATACTTGTTAAGGTTAACTAATATAGCAACTGTTAATATCATGTTCACATTAAGTAAACATAATTTCACTAATGATAAATATATCTTAAGTCTATTACTTCATTATTATTTCATATTTATTATTTCCATATACCTCAATATTTACATGTAAGTTTATTTTAAGTTGAAAATTCACGCAATAAATTAACAAACTAAAAGTTATTAATTTAATAATACAATATTTTGGGGATTTTTTATAAATATTTCAATAATTAATATCTTCCCTTTTGTGCTATCTATACTTTCTATTTTCATATGACAATTTACAGAATTTATAATACTTTTACGACCTCCGTAGAGTGTTTTGCACGCCGGTTTTGAAGGTATCACCATAAGTGAGGTTCCGTGATCTCTATAGGTATTGTCTCGGATCTGGGTGTTATGATACCTACTTCGTGGTCCCAGATATTCCATAATAAGAGGGCTTGCGTTCTTCATCCTGAAAATGAACAATCTATGTGATGATTTTAACCTCTTTTTGTGCTTATTCGAGTGGGTTTTTTTGACCAAAAAATACCAATAATATGCGCATTATTGATGTCAGTTTAGAGTAGATTTTTAATTGTCTGTATGTACAAAAGATAAAGTTTCAAACTTAATTTGTTGGGGGCAATCTTCAGAAATATTGAAGCGATCAAGAAATTTTTCACCTATGGGCTACATCATACGCGGGTTACATACGCTATCATTTATATGGGCAAAGTCGCGGGGAAATTGTTTGTTAAATATATTGGTATACAATATTTTTTTTAAATATTACATAACACTTACACCCATATCTATAGACGAGTAAAACTAATTACTTGAGTAAAAGTAATTACTTGAGCAAATATTTTTTAACAAATAAACCAAAAATTTCAATGAAATACTACTAAAAAGAATACTAAATTATCATTTACTATTACATTAAATAAATAAGAATACTAAATTATCATTTACTATTTCATTCAAAGAATTAAGATTGATTTATAGGTTAGTATCTGCAGAAGTTATGCCATTTTATCAAGTAGGGGATATATTTTTATTGGTTTATAGATTAATATCTGCATAAGTTATGCCATTTTCTATCATCTCAAGTTATTGGTTTATAGGTTAATACCTGAATAAGTTATGCCATTTCCACAAGTAGGTAATACATAGCCAGACGTCTCGATTTCATGGGACGTCCCGTATTTCATGCATAAATTCGAATGTCCCACCGGGGCCGACTTTGTCTCGTATCAAATCAGTTTCACAAATAGTGTTAAAGTAGGGTAATTAACGAAACAAATGTACCTCTATTTTAATAAAAATCAAATTAATTACCGTTATTAATATGGTTTTAATTATGTAAAATCCAATAAAAATATGTTTAAATATGCGTGTTTCTCTCACAAAATATAAACGTATGTCATTTCCGCAAGGAAAAACCCTTTTAAAATGTAAGAATAAAAAAAAATAATAATAATAAACGTAAGTAATTTGGTTTTTTATTAATCCTGGATAAAAAATTTAAATCCAGGCTGAAACAAATCTGGCAACCTTAGTAATACTTCTCTCGGTTCATAGATGAGAATCTCAACATTTTTAGGGATATGCGTGTATTTAACTGATTAAAAATTCTGTTAAGTTGATAACTACCTTGGTCTTGAAAAGTCGTATATATTAAGAAAAGTCAATATTTATAGTACGTTCCAAAAAAAATGAAAACAATATTAATACGAATTGAACAATTTCTTTTCCTTTTAATACCATAGTGAGTTAGAATAATTTACTAAATGCAATAGTATTGCTAAAATCCTTCTTCCACAAATGTGTTAAAATATCTATACTATCTTTTTTTTTGTCACAGAGAAATGCTTGTACAAGCACAATACACCGGACCACAAGGGGGTTTGGCTCAAGCTTTGTTGCCTAACGCCTACTACCACCAGCTGCAAGATCCCTCGCATTACCTGCACGGGAACGCACCCTAAATTGTTGCCATACGTAAAATTAAAAGTTTTTAGTAAATTTGTTTAAATTCTATGTTCATCAGACTGATACACGCAAATTATTATTTTTTGTTATTTTAATGATAAGAATAGTTGGGATTGTTTGTTCACGTTAGATTATAATGTGTATTAAGGTTTAATTTTAAAGGTATTTATGGCCGATTGTCCTGATTGCATTTAGTATTTAAAAATGACTTCAATATTCTGTCTTAATAAATATGATTTTATTTTTTTATTTTAAGAATCATTTGAAATCTACACTACAGATATTAATTAATGTTTCTTTGTAATTTAGAATGTTTATTTTTATCTTCCATTTAATGTTTGTCTATATTTTTTTACAAACGAATCGATTGATTCCTTTAAAAATGTTTTTATGTTGGACTGTAAGAATACTCCAGAGGTTAAAAGTTCTTCTTTTAAAATAAGGTTATATTATTGGATTTAATAATGAAATGAGGGAGTATTAACAAAGATCTCATAATGAAACTAGACTTTACTTTGAAAAATTTTTAGTGTTTGTTGTTCCGATATACACTGCGACCACTGAACAGTATGACGTCAATTTAGAATACTGGAAGCCCGTTCCTTTATAGCTAGTTATACTGGTGACTTTTTAAAACGGAACGCAGTCCAGTATACTGTTAATCCTATTTTTGGCGCCATTTTCAACTTTGTTAATGCAAGGTGAATATAAATTCCCTCTTTTCAAAAGAAAATTGGAAAATTGTATAAAAAAATTATTTTACAATTAAATCCATCTTATAAATAAACGTAAGTATTTTTTTTTGTTTATTTAGAAACTTATCATTTTCTGATTCTGTTTCGACTGATCACGTGATCAAAAGCACTGCGAGCACCTTACCTCGAAATCTCCAGTGCTCACAGTACAAATATGGCGGCAATTTATGACGTCATAAATTTCCCTAGGGTACTGTAGCAGTGTACTGGCAGTCCATAACGGAACGGATTTTTCAGCAGTAAGACCACTGCGCAGTGCTCGCAGTGTATATCGGAACATACCCTTAATCATATTGTCTTTGATATGTATTCCAATTTCAAATTAATTTAAAGTTTATTAAGCATCAAAAGTTAATATATAAGTCATCGTCTGTTTTTAACTCATCGGCTTTCTTTTATTATTTAAGTTTCGAAATTTACTTTACAATTATTTGATCAGCCTATTTCAGTATGTTACGTGTACAAAATTAAAAAAAAAAAACTTTCTTTGATCAAAAGATGACACGAAAATTTCCGACATAGTTGCGCCATCTAGTGACATTTATATCAGTAATTTCTTTTTTAAATACTTCCTCATTGATAGAATTTATTCAATTATCTGTCAGTTGCTTTGAAAATAGGTATATGATAGAATGGAGTTTAATAAGTCCATTCATAAACTATTGCAACTTAAGTTATATACCCACAGGCATTTTATTAGAACTAACCTATTTTAGAACCTTTGGGTCGGCGAAAATTCAACAGCAGGTTGCATTGCGTAGCTGCACTGATGGATTATTGGTAGAATGTATAAGGTCAAATCTATTGCATTATGTAACATCGGCAAACCAAACCTTTAGCGAACTATTTATTGATTCGGTTATTTGCCTTATGATAAACCCTTAACTTCGATAAATGTGTTGTATTTATATTGTAACTTATGTGTTGACTCTATAAGTAAATCAAGAGAGCAGCTATTACTAGTTTATGACTTTACTTGGAACTCTTTTTTTTTTAAAGTAGCTCGGGATTAGTGTTATACGTCTTTAACAATAATATATATGTCTGTAACAATTTAGAAAAAGAAAAGTGGTCACGAACGTATATGTCAGATAACTAAATCCAGATAATTTGAATGTATTTCTGTGTATAAGGCCATAATAAAAAAAAGTGAAATACGATGATTATCTGATTATAGGTATACCTGTTAATAGGTGGCTGAATGACATGTAATATAATATTACTAAGCTCTGGTTTTTATAAATGTTTACGTAGCTTAAAGAGGTTTTCAATTCTGAAAATCTTTTTATTTTAAATGAATAATACTTAAAAAAATAATGCACTTAAAAGATAAAGTAAACCTTCTTCTACTTCATTATTAATATCAAGTAATTAAATGATAAAAAAATAATTTTGACATGTAAAAATGAGAATGAAATAAATGAAAAATTTGCAAACTAAGCTAAGCTTGAGCTTAATTTGACAATATTATAACAGTACTCTTTTAAAATTATGCTCCAATTATTTTCATTAAGTTTAGTTTATAGTAAGAGAACTGTATATATTAGAAAATTATTTGTATTTTTAATGACAATTTGCATATCTCTCATTGGTAAATATATATACTTATATTAAGGTGCTGTTTATGTTGAAATCTTTGTATTCTAGTCTACAAGTGAAATAAAATTCTATAAGAATCTATCCTATGATTGTTTAATGTACTTTTTTTAACCCCCACCGTTAAAAGAGAGGTGTTATAAGTTTGATGTGTGTGCGCGCGCGCGTTCTTGTGTTCGTGTGTGTGTTTATGTGTCCATTACGTCTGTAGCATCATAGCTCCCAAACGGGTGAACTGATTTGGATAGATTTTTCCGATATGATGTAGAGATGATCATTAATTTAATGGACTCTTAGTACACTTCTACTGCACTGATTGAGTTGAAACTTGACATATAGCAAATAATATAACATGATAATAATATGGTGACCTTGACCTAATGCTGCAGCCAGGATACTCTGCAGAGTACCTAACTGCTCGACAACTAACAGCAGATGTATCGTGTTAAACCAACAAATAACACCCAAATCCATATCGCTCAAATATTTGTCAAATTCCTTAAAAGTAAATGTCGTCAATAATAGCATCAATTTCAAAACGTCGTAAGTCGAGCGTATTACTAAGTCTAAAAAGAGTTAAATAAAATACAATAAAAGAATTAATAATCCCCGAAACAATACAACACTTCTTCTTCTGCCCACGTTCGGAAGAGGGAATGAGGGGCGAAAGGGTGGGCAATCCCGTCCCCCATCTTCTTACTTGCGACGAGGATACTTGGATAAAAATATTACTAATTTAAATTAAAAGGGTTAACACGCATTTATTGTTTACTTTTTAATCCTATGTTCTTATTAAAGGCGGACTAACCTCCTCGTAGCCCGTATTACAATGATTTTGGCGGATGCTTACAGCCCATTTGGAGGCCCCCCAGGGGTGCGACCGCCTAACTCATGGACGTAGCCGTAGTCATAGCTATAACCTACGCTTTATAGGTGTTACACATGAATCTGTTGATATTGTTTTAATATTGAATTTTTTATTATTTACATATTTAATCAATGCTTTTAGTTGTTTTTGTTCGCTGAATTATTAAAGTTACACGAAATTGACAAAATGTCGAATTGATACAATTACAAGCAATGCTATTTTGAAAAGAAAAACAAACCAATATGTTTGATAAAATATATAATTAAAAAAAAACAATTAATTTTAAAAGAATATAAACAGATTCATTAGAAATATCGATAAAGCGTAGGTTATAGCTACAACTACGGCTACGTCCATGAGTTAGGCGGTCGCGCCCCAGGATTGACAGGCAGACCCCAGACAGGCCCAGGGAGGACCGCCCCACACGCCCCCACTTAGTCCGCCGCTGCTTCTTATCCATATTAAAATTAACTTTGTTCTTAGTAGATAAGTAAAATGATGTGATCAAATTTTGATTTCAGCATAACTTATTGCAGTTTTATTTTTTTATAACGTTTTGAAGGACAGATTATGGACAGATGACAAAATATAGTAGCATGTATTTCGTTCATACATGGTATTACATTTTTTATAGTATGATTTACAGTCGTTTGACATTAGGTTAACAGAAGACAGCTGTCATAGAGATGTTCAACTTATATATAATTAACTCGAGTAACACGACTTGAAATTCGTATAACTCGTGTTTTGTATTTCAAGTGAGCAGGACGAACGACTTTAAATAATTCATTTCTATGGCGTTATAACTCATTTTTCATGTATATAAACGTTTAGAAAGGGAGAAGCATCAATACTGTGTGTAAACGAACACAGAATACTTTTTCATTTCTGTTTAAAAATAAAATACATATTAATTTCTTTACAGGAGATTTTGCTTTTAATATAAAAATCAGTTAAAATTACTAAGCAAATTTTACAATAATACTTAAAAATAACATATTGTTAAAAGTTGGACAAGGAAGTGCTTCCTTTCAAATCGAGTTATGGAGCATCTAACTCGATGCGTATCGAGATAATATGAGCAACTCACATCACTATGATGACAGTGACAGTAATAATTACGACGTTTCTTTGTTTGTTTCGTAAGCTGTGAAATAAGTTGCTAGATTGTGAAAAAAACTGTTGGACTATCTAGTCTCGTAATTATACTAATCATAATTCGTAACTCAATTAAAAGCATTTCATTTTTATGTTAGATTGAAATAAAGGACTGTGTTAATGACGTAATTGTTGTAGTTTCATAATGTCCGACTCCAAGTCTTTCGTGAACTTCTCTTGTCAGAGATGCTTGCAGCCTTTGAAATTAGACGAATCATTAAACAACTTAGGCGAGCACACCATTGCGGATCTCACATTGCAGATAAGACGTAACAATGAAGTGGACTTAGAACTGCAGTCATCGAGTTTAGAACATTACGTACCCCCATTTCGAATGTCCGAATCAGGTAACGGCGCAAATGGCTTTATGGTAATCTCAGATGGTTGGGAGACGACCTCATTAGGTCATCAGCTACATGTAAAGGCGACTCTATTCGATTTATTGTCTAACAATTCTGATGTTGATCATCCATTGTGTGATGAGTGCACAGATACATTATTAGAGTTGATGGATAACCAACTACGTCAGACAGAAGCTGAATGGAAGGATTATAATGATTATTTGAAAAAACTTGAAGATGATAAAGAAGATTTGAATTTGGAAGGGCTAGAGAAGGAACTGGAAGATTGGAAACAGGAACAGGAGAGGCTATTAACAGAGCTGTCAGCTTTGCAGAAAGAAGAACGAGCTATGAAGGACGAAATTGAGATACAAGAGAGGGAAAAAGAACGGTTGGAGAAGGAGCAAGATGTTTATTGGCGAGAGTACACTAGGTATAGAAAAGATTTAATGGTAACAGAAGATCAAATGAAATTTTATGAATGTCAGCTCTCATATACACAGTCACAGCTGGAAAAGTTGAAAAAAATGAATGTATTCAAAGCGACCTTCCATATATCTGACTCGGGGCAGTTTGGTATAATAAATAATTTCCGACTCGGTCGTTTGCCTACCGCCCCTGTGGATTGGTCAGAGATAAATGCAGCATGGGGCCAAACGGTGTTACTTTTGTCATCATTGGCTAGGAAGATAAATTTTGCATTCCAACGGTACCGTCTAGTGCCATATGGTAATCATTCTTATATTGAAGTTTTGGAAGATCAGAAAACTCTACCCTTGTATGGTTCAGGAGGTTTCCGTTTCCTTTGGGATACAAAGTTTGATGCTGCAATGGTTGCATTCTTAGATTGTTTACAACAATTTAAGGAACAAGTTGAGAAGGGTAACACTGGTTTTTGTTTGCCATATAGAATAGATAAAGGAAAGATAGAGGATACTGCATCACCACCTCATGCTTATTCAATAAAAATACAGTTTAATTCAGAGGAACATTGGACTAAAGCTTTGAAGTACATGTTGACGAACTTAAAATGGGCTTTAACTTGGATCTCATCACAGTTTAGTGAAGATAGAATTGAAAGTTAATATTTGACTGTCATTATAATAGATTTTTTATTTAGTGCTATTTTTAATATACCTATATTACAGTGGAATATTGAAATCATCTGACTTTTTGTACACAAAGCATCAAATCAAGTTATTACAAAAAGCCTAAATTGTTGCTATCATTTTTTAAATTAATTGCCATTTCATTTGGACAAAAAATCTATTGTAGAAATTAAGTGTTTGGTATTAACCAGACTTGCTGTTGACTGTACAATTAACATTAAATATATTATTAGAAGAGTAATTCTTATTTTTAAACTATTGTGTATTGATTGTAAATATATTCCAACTTTTCCATTCTTTTACGAATTGCAATATATCTATTTGTGATTAATATGAATCATGGTTGTAAGATGTCACATTTAAATTCAGTATTTTTCGTGAAACCTTTTGTTCCTATATAAAATTGCTTTAAAAATATAAAAAATGTATGAAGCCAAATTGATATATTTAAATAATTTATAGGAAAAATCATTGTAAAGCCATTCATACAAAAAGTTTAGTCTTGACTTTTTTTTATGTAATAACTTTTTACTACTCATAGCTTATGAATAATTTGTAATTCATATTTTATGTGATATTAAATACTTATTAAGGTCGTTTCAAATCTATCGGAATATGTCTGTGTCTTATGTAAGTATGTAGAGTGTGTAAAAGCTTCGGTTCTTCCATTAGATATGTACCAACTCTTATCGTCTTATTGTAAAACGAGGAGTAAAGTTTTACATGGTTTAACTAGGAATGCGCCGAATAGTGGTTTTACTGAATTTTACAAATACTGAACATTATACTTTTACATTTTACTGAACGGTTTAACTTTTACCGAACCTAATTATTTGGTTTACCATTTCAATGATTTGCTGTTAAAACAAGTTAAATAATAAATGTTGATTTGAAGTTTAATTGCTTTATTTTATTAGCTTTATTGAGTTTTTTTTTCATTAGATTTCTTTGAATAAGGTGTCCTGTAGCTAAAAAAATAGAAATGCTAGAACCGAATATATTCGGTATCAAAACCGAATAATTTGGCCGAATACAAATAGTGGAAAAATTGTTGAATACTGAATACCAAATGAATGTTCGGCGCATTTCTAGTTGTTTTGGTCGGATAATGTTTTAAACCTAGTGCTAACTTCCTTCTACAATAAGACTGCCAAACTGTAACATAATTTATGTCTGAATATTTAGAAATTATTAATTATTGTCAACTTTACGTTTCTGTATAGGTGTGAAGTGAAGCTTAATTAAATTTTAATTATGTTCAATGTGATTAAATGCTGTGATTCAATAATTAGTTTAATAAAAATAAATATGTATGAAAGTTGTAAAGTCCAATTTATTTGACCGACTTGTCTCATTAATTCGACCCTTGTATGGTTGTTAATTCAAATTACTTTTTAAAAACTATTCATAAAATAATAAAACTTGTGTTGTTTATAATTTCTATTAATATAAAACAACATCACATACATTGCTTAGATCTAAAATAATCATAATAAGTACCTCCAGAGTCAACATAGAAAAGTGTACGCATAGTGAAGTGCACTTAGGTATATTGGGCTGGCTAGGCTGAATTACCGCTAAACGAACTGGTATCTCGTAAGTTCAAAAATAGCGACATCTTGAAACCAACGTACGAACCACTGTTAAGTACGTCGTCCTAAAATAGAAGATATTTTTTTGTCTTTTGTGACATCTAACGTGCTATCCGAATACAAAGAAGAAAAATTTGCAGGCTAGATTGTTGGTTCTAGTTATTTAAAATAGATGGCGCGTTTGTTGAAAATGTGTAAATGAAAACAGAAAATACGAGAAAGACAAAAAAAATGGAATTTCTGAAAAAATATTTAACTGTGGGTGTTAACACTTATGACATTGCAATTTCGACTAGTACTAATATATCGATAAAAACAAAGCTCGTGCTCACTTTGTGATGCAAAGAAATAGTTTATTCTACTTATTTATCCTGCTGATCGAAGTGTTACTTTGTTTCAGTTCTTCTCTTCACAGTAGAGAGTAGGCATTAATAAGAAATATAATGTTCTCGGAAGGCATGGACTAAATCATCAGCACTCCATCAGCCTATTACAGTCCTCATTAGTGAATCGAGAGTAGGCCATGATCAACCACGCTGGCGCAGTCCGGATTGGTGATTGAGTTAGTAGAATCGACAAAGTTCCTTGGTATTACACTAGATTCCCGACTGCAATGGGATCCTCATATTGATAGCTTGTCAAGTAGACTGAGTTCTGCAGCTTTTGCTGTTAAGAAAATTAGACTCTTGACAAATGTTGAAACGGCAAGATTGGTATATTTTAGTTATTTTCATAGTGTAATGACGTATGGTATATTGTTATGGGGTTCTGCGGCTAGCATTCAGGATGTTTTTATTTTACAAAAGAGAGCTGTCCGTGCTATATATAATTTACGGTCTAGGGAATCTCTAAGAGAAATATTTAAAGAAATAAATATTCTGACTGTTGCCTCTCAATACATCTATGAGAATATTATGTATACAAGAAAACATTACGATTCCTTCACAAAAAAAAGTAGTGTTCATAATCTTAACACAAGAAATAAAGATAAACTTGCCGTTCCAAGCTTCAGACTTCAAAAAACCAGAGGATCATTTCTGGGTAAATGTATTGCTATGTTCAATAAAGTTCCACAAAATGTAATTGACCTACCCATAAATAAATTTCAAATTCATGTAAAGAATATACTTGTGAGTAAAGGCTATTATAAAGTTGATGATTATTTTAAGGATCGCAATGCATGGAATTAATAGCCTTCGCTTTGTTCTATAAAGACTAATTATATGTTCAACTTATGTCCTACAGACTTTGAAAGTTGTATTTACTGTTGTGATAAATTGATAATACATATTATTTTGGTAATGACATGATTTATGTAAATGTCATTACTTATGATAAAAAGCTGATAAGTTTCTTTCGCTTGTTCTTCTTGTCAGCTAAAAGACGTCCTGAACAAGTGGTAGGGGAAAAAAGTTTTTTGGACGATTCAAAAGTGCTTGTAATAGCCTACTTGAATAAAGATATTTTCATTTCATTTCATTTTCATTTCATGAGTATTAATGACTGTGAATGCAGCCGGGACAAACGTTTTCACGTGCCTTCCGAAGTATAAAAATATAGATGTTATTGACCAGTGTACATATGTCATATAACCCCCGTATATGACATATTTACACTGGTCAATAACATCTTTATTTTCATCTTTATGTGCAGAGGTCGCCCGTACTTTATGTGCAACAAAGCGATTCAGAAAAAATCCAAATCCGAATTCGAATCCACTCATGTGTATGTCTGAATTAATTGAGAATATGAATTCTGTAGATTCCATTTTTGTATAAAAATACAAAACAAGATGGATTCATACTTGTCACAGATATTATATTCCTATGTATTTTCAAAACTCACTTTACTTATGCCACGAAACGTTATTACCAGTTGAGCGGATGCTGTTTTTGAAGTGAATCCGAATTGAATTTCCTGAGTGAATTCGAATTCGTGTTCGATTTTTTACAGAATCGGAGGGCTGACCCCATCTAACACTGTAAATGAGTAATTTCTTCTCTCAAAGGGTAGGGAATACGCACAAAAAAAAAACATAATGCCCGATGTCACTAAACTTAGTAGTCAGCTAAATCTGTCTATTAAATATTTGTATTTCACCAATGACTAGGAACTAAGTAAAGACACAATAATATCTAAAGTGGTAAAAGTTGTGCTAATATGACAGGTCACAATCGTGTTACAGAATAAAATAAATAAAATGTTTATTTGGAATTAAACTAATCCGTTTAGGCCATTCGTAAGATTAGTTGTTTCCTAGGTAAGATATGCCTTGTTCTAGGTTAGCGAAATCAGCTTTTTATACCTATTCAATTCTTTGCAATAGAAATGAGTGTCAACTTATCATAATTTAATAATTTCCTAATTTACTTACCCTGTAAAAATGGTATTTTTTTTCCAGTAAGCATTTAATAACTTATTCAAAGAGTAAGCAGGAATAAGGATTTCAGCGGCTTATAAATCAACCTCGCCATTGATAAAGTTAGAACTAGAATTTATTGCTTCGACTTTGAAAAAAAAGTGAAAAGGAAATCGCCGAAGAAAGTTCACCGAATTTTTATTTTTTTAAAGAAGGAGACAAACGATAATCACTTGCGTACCTAAATATTCTTTACCAAAGTCATCATTTATCTATATGTTTAATTCTTTTACCTATACTGACTTCAAAACAAAAATGTATTTTTCTTTAAAATTTTATTACTTACATGTAATATAGCAAGGCGTTTTTTGTATCGGTCAAAACTAATAGTTACATAAATTATTGAACCGATTTTAACTTACTTTTTATTCGGTACAGTAGTTAATTGTTTCCGAGATGGCCTCCATAAAAATTTTATAAACATTGGTTCAGTACTTTAGTTCTTATTGAAATAAATGTGTCAAAGTAAACGACACCGGGCGGTTGGACAGGGCTTTTCATAGTGTCTGGGTATTTTTTTATGTAATGTCCATTAACCTAAAACTATAGTTATTTAATATTTACTGTCTTCGTCTTCAACTTTTTAGAACCAAGAAGAGTGACTGACTGAAGACTTTTCAATGTTAAGCGTTCAGCGCTAACATCAACTAATATAAGTACGTCCTTAGCGAAATCTAACATCTGAGAGTTTAATCCAGGATGATCCGTGGAACATGTCCCGGGACACGTTGTCACTAAAATAACTTTTATATAGCCAGCTGAAAGGATTTGCAGTTTATAAAGTAGGACGTGAAACATGAATCTGAATTTTCCCTTTATTAATCGCGTACTTATTGTATTACTATCCGCGAGCAGTTTCGTCCGCGTAATCTAGTTTTAAGTCCAGACATGAGAAAATTCCGTAAAACTTTCATCCCTAATTTACCCCTTTAGGGGTCGAATTTCTTAAAATCCCGTCTTAGTGAGCACCTATGTCCTAAAAAGAACCCGCATGCAAAATTTGAAACTCCTAGCACTTGTTGTTTTTGAGATTCCGTGATGAGTGAGTGAGTGAGTGACCTTTCGTTTTTATAGATGCCCCAAGCGACTGTGTGATTGAAAAATGAAAATTTTATAGGAAAAAAGAGTTAATGATTTTCACGAATATATTTTCAATGAGTGGGTCTATTGGAGTCACTGATGTATCAAATGAAAGCTAATTTTTGCGTAATATAACTGTGCTATTAATATGAAAACTCGTTTATTCGAAACCTAGTTATTTATGAAAAATCATAATACTTAAAATGTTGTACGTAAAATATTACCTCGTGTGTTCATAAGTTTTGAGACGAAATAAAAGTATTGTAACTTTTTTAATTCTACGGCTATAGTACCTATAGTTATAAGAAATCAAACGACGCATGGCTATAACTAGGAGTGCCATGGACAGGCTTAAGAAGATATGGAGAAACAGAAATATCACCAAGGCCACCAAAACCCGATTGGTTCGAACTCTTGTTTTCCTTATTTTCCTGTATGCTGCCGAGACATGGACTCTGCGGGAGATAGAAAATAAAAAGATCGAAGCCCTGGAGAAAGATGCTCGGAGTATCGTGGACTGAGTTCCGTACGAACGTTTCCATACTCGAGGAACTTGGCATCAAAGAGAGACTGTCAGCTATCGTTCAAACCCGCATTTT